GGCGGAGTGATTGTGAGGTGCACAGCGCTCATCACTGGAGGAGTCCGGCAGGGGGCCGAGGGCCCCAGCCCTGCAGGGGCTCCTGGGGGTGCGGTCTCAGCTCCTGCACTGACTCCTGGTGAGCGGTGGGTGCGGGGACCACGGTGTTCCAAAGCAGGACCCTGAGGCTGCATCTGAGTTCAGAGGAAACAAGCGCCATGACCGAGCTGCACCCTGCTGTGGGCGTGGGGGTGGGGGTTGGCAGGTGCACCTCGGTTTGCCAGCTTCCCTGGACTGGACCATCTCCTGGCTCTGGTCTCCCAGGAGCTTTCTGCTCCACGTGCTCTTCACGTGCAATCATGTTGAACAACGGGAAGCTTAGGCCGCAAAATAATTTCTTTCCAAGTGGCTTTTTTTCCTCGTTTGTTAGTGGAATCAAGTCTCTTTGCCAACGTCGCATGTCTTTCCAACAGGGGAAGGAATGAGCCAGGCAGCCACCATCTGCAGGTCCAACTTTAAGGTAAGCTCTGAGGTTGGGCAAACTGTCTTGGAAGTGAGGCACCGAGGGGGGTCTTTCTCCCCTGCAGGGACATGAGAACTGCGTCGACCTGGGGACACGGTGGGCTGGCATAGCAGGAGCCTCTGCTGTGCTGGGGGCCTAAACCATGGGACTCCTGCAGCCCTGTTCCTGCCTAAAGAGGCTGTGACATCACAGACACCCCTCCCGATGGGGGCCGCATTGACGTGGCTGGTGATTTTCTTGGTGAAGGATAGACGTCCCTGTAAGGGCCTAGTCTCTGGCTTCTGTCTGCCGGGGGCTGGGTTTATCAGAGGACTTAAGTTTTGTGAAGTGAACTTCTAGGAAGCATAACACGTAGATGAAAAGCACACGGTGGAAGTGTGCAGCTCAGTGGGTTTTCTCTAAGTCAGCACCCCCGAACAACCAGCACCCAGATGGAGTGGGAAGTCCCAGGACCTCAGCCGCCCCGGGGCCCCTGTAGTGAGGTTGCCCCCTGCACAGGTAGGCCCTCCCCTGACTTCTCCTGCCATCCGTTAAATCTGTCTGCTTCTCGGTTTAGCAGAAATGGGATCACAGGGTGGTCCCTCTCCTCCTGGCTTCTGCAGCCAGAACCTGCCCGTGTCGCCCTGGGCGGTGGTGGCTGGTTCTCACAGCCGCGTGACAGCTGCAGGGGCCTCACCCACCCTACTCCGGGTGGACATGTGGGCGGCACCTACTGCTCGGCCCTTAAGTCGCTGTGAATGTTCTAGGGCACGTGTTTCTGTGCCCAGATGCGCACATTTCTGTTGGGTGTTTATCCGGAAGTAGAACTGCCGGGTCCCAGGGCAGGTGTATCTATCCGCGGCCTAAAAGTACTTCCAGTTTGCTGAAGAGGTGGCGCCAGTTCACACGCCGCCTCAGCGTAGGATCTCGGTCAGCCTGAGGCGGCGCCGCCTTTTCGGCTTAGCTGTCCGGGCTTGTGACTCCATTTGCACATCGCTCGCGGCTGCAGTGGCTGGGTGCCTCTCCGTGGGTGTGCTGGCCCTCTGAGCAGCCTCTGAGGTGTGGCCTCCCGTGGCCTCTAGTCTCCCTTCTGACTGGACATTGCTCTGACCTAACACAGGGGACGCGGGGCCTCCCTGAGGGCATTCGTGCAGGAGTCCGGGTCTGGGGCGTGTGGCTCCAGGAGGGCCCACCTCGGAAGCTGCGGGCGTGGAGAGGCGCGGCGGGCCCCATGTCTGGGCATCTTGGGGCGCGTGGTCCTCGGCCCCCTTGCCCCACCACCTGACCCCCACTAGCACTCCTTCATCCCTCGGCCTGCCCTGATGTCCTGTTTGAATTGTTTGGCCCCATTGCCCAGGGTCTCTCCCAAGGCCCAGGGGGCGGACACGGTGTGGTCTTTGCTTACAGAAGCCTCTGCTGTGATGAGGACTAAACCCTGTCACCTTATGACTCAGGGGTGTGCAGGGTCGGGCGTCATTACGGACAGATGAGCAGGCTGCAGGGGTCTGAGCAATGAGGTCAGCTGCTCAGGGAGGGCTTCCTGGAGGAGGTGGGCCATGGGGGCCGTCGAGGGGTGGAGGAGCCGGTGCAGCAGCCAGGAGCAGGGAGAGGCCCCTGGGTGACCGTGGGAGGGTGGCCTGGCCTCTGTCCCTGGAGGCCGGCTCTGAGGGCCTGGGAAAAGCCGGGAAGGCCTGGGCGGCTGTGGGGCTGCCTCGGGGGCTGGGCAGCCCACTCTGCTCTCGCCCCCTCTCGCCCTCAGCACATGTACTGGACGATGCTGCAGCAGCTCGTGCACCACTCCTCCAATGGCTGCAACCTGCGGCCTGGGGACCTCCTGGCTTCTGGAACCATCAGCGGGCCGGTGAGTGTCCGAGTACCCGGAAGCTGCCCGCACCCCACTCCCTGCACAGACCGGAGAACCCTCAGCGCCCCTGGCCCGCAGCAGGGCATCCTACAGCTGCCTTCCTCTGAGCTTCGTCCAGTGCTGGGGGCAGAGGGGGCATCCTTCCACATTCAGACCTGAGAGCCTGGTGGCTGGGCGGGAGGCTGTGTGTGCCTGCCTGGGGGCATCAGAGTGAGGCGGGAGAGGCGGGACCTGGCCACCATAGTGTCCAGTTGCCACCAGTTCCCTGTCCTCCCAGGATAAGGTGGCCCTTCCCTCCCCCCTGCCACCGAGAGCCCACGCTAGAGTCCCAGAACCTTAAAGACAGTGACTTGGGGGTGACACACAGGCCAGTCACTTCCCTGGAGGTCCTGCCCACAGCCTCCCGTGGGAGGGGCGATCTCGGCCCCCAGGAGGGTGTCAGGCATGGCAGGATCTGGGGGGCCGTGATCTCCAAGCGGGCAGGGGCCTGGCCAGAGGGGCCTGGCATGTGGGTCAGGGTTGCCCAGGTCCCAAGCACAGGGCAGGGCCAGCTGCAGAGCCTCAGGGGCACTTCCACAGCAGTTGGGCCACTGGGTGGGCCTCCAAGGGGCCTGGGTCCCCCTCCCCTCCCTGGGGTTCCCAGGCCTGGCGAAGCACAGTGCACCCGGAGCCGACGGGCTCGCCAGGACATCACATGGGTGCTGCTTCCTGCTGCAGACGCCAGAGAGCTTTGGCTCCATGCTAGAGCTGTCGTGGAGGGGCACGAGGGCCATAGAGCTGGACAGCGGGCACACCAGGAAGTTTCTGCTGGACGGGGATGAAGTCATCATAACAGGTGAGGGCGGCCATGCCGCATGGTGAGCCCCTGCCTGCAGCTCTGCCCTCCGGCCATGAAGCCATCTGTCCTTACGCGGCCCCACTCTGTCCCTGCTCTGTGCCAACCCCACCCTCTCCGTTCCAGGGTACTGCCAGGGGGACAGTCACCGCATCGGCTTTGGTCAGTGCGCCGGGAAGGTGCTGCCCGCGCTCCCACTGGCCTGAGGCTGCCCCCACCATCCAGCCACGAAGTGCCCCAGTGGGCCCTTACGCCCTGGGCACCAGGCACCTCGTGCTGCGGCCTGTTTTTTCCTTCAAGAATAAAGCCTTCAGCCCTGTGGCACCCTCGGGCCCCGCACTGTCTGTGTGTGATGTCCACTCATGGTGCCGCACTGAGCCGGTGGGCCGAGGTGTGTACCACTGCCTTGAGAGACGGTCATTAATTTGTTTTCTCATTTTTATTAGTGAGGCCGAGCATGTGGGGAGGGGCATTCTCATCAGCTATTCCAGGCCTCCCGGTGTTCCCGGAAAGCGGAAAGAGAATGGCTCCTGAATTAGAATCTGCAGTAAGGTTTGGCCCCTGTATCTGCGTCCTGTGCCCCAGCTGAGTTCCACCTACATCTCAGCATCCCACACAGCAGATACTTCTTGAGACTGACCGATGGGCGTGCACAGGGTGCAGACGTGGTTCAGGGGCCCTGTACCTGTTCTGTACATTACAGGCCTTGGGCAGGGCCCCCAGGACATGCATGCACACCTTCCGTGTGTCAATGTCAAGCTCCGTGGAGGCATGAGGTGCCGCAGTGCATGGAATTGCTCAAACCTCTGAGTGTGTGATGCTTACACTCTAGTGGAAGGAGCTGGACAGAGCACACAGCTGTGGAGAAGATGTAGCATGACAGACGGGTGACATGTCAGGCACACACGGTGGGGTGTGGCTGTTGTTGCAGGTGGGGTGGCCAGAGAAAGCCTGCGGGCCCTTGGTCCTTGGGGATTTTCTGCAGGATGGCTGAAGGACGTGGGGGAGCAAGCCAGGTGGGCATCTGGGGAGAGGAGGCTCCAGTACAGGGACCAGCCCTTAACTAAAGGACCAAGGGGGTCGGCATTTCTTCCTCACATGAAGGCATCCCAGGGCCAGGAAGTCTGGAGTTTCTATGGCAACTCCAGTGTCATTAAGGACCCCCTCCCCATCCTCAGTATGTGGTTTTCATCCTCAAGACCACCTTATGGTACAAAAGGCTGCAGGAGCTCCGGCCAGTACAGCCAAGTTCCAGGCTTACAGAAGAGAAGAGAAAGAGGTGGGGGTCGGAGGGATGGAAGGGCAGAAGGTCCTTCAGCTGCATTCGGTCCCTTGAAGCAGCCTTCCTAGGAGTCCCCTCCACACTTTCCATGCATTTCATTGGCAAAAATGTAGTTACAAGACCACACCTCATTGCAAGGAAGGCTGGGACTGAGAATACAGTCTCTTAGCGGAACACATTGCTTCCCCAGTTAAGGTCAGTTCAGTGGCTACTGAAGAAGTGGGGGTGAATTCTGCAGGGCCTCTAGCAGGCTCTGTCCCACACGGCTGGGCATCCCCCTCAGGCTGACTGCCCTCTCACAGCCGACTCTGACCTGGGCTGTACCTGGCAACGCGCTGCTGGTTTCAGCAGAAACCCTGTGTGGTGCACATGGCAGCCATGCTCCAGATAAGACTGATTCAAACATGGGTTCTCTGATTTCGGAAGGCCAGACCCGTCCCAGGGTGTTTCTCACTTCCTGGGGGCTTGTGTGGACTCGCCTGCAGTCTGGGCCCCCATCCCTGTGCTTTGAGGTCGTTTGGGGACTCTGCCCCCTGACACAAGTCTTAGCAGGCGGGCCACCCTCTTGAACCCCTACCCTGGTGTGGCAGAGCTTTACTGCTGCTCTGGGTCATGGGCAGAGGTCACTTAGAGTCAGCATCCATCCACTTGGCCCTGCCGGGTCCGAGGAGCGCTGGTGTCAGCTGCCGAGCTTACACACCCGGGCGCTCACTGTGTGTTTGGTGCACGTGGGGCTGGAGATGCCGGGAGGCCCGGGTCCTGCAGCTGGAGGCTCCCAGGACAGACCTGCACCAGGTGTGTGCAAGCAACCTGAGCAGCAGATGGGAACACCAGGTCCAGCGGGCTTTCTCAGACCAGCGCTTTGCCTTGACCTTCATCAACATGCGCCTGTTCTCCTGTCTCCATCCCAGAAATGCCTGGGCCAGCCCCACAGTGCAGACGAACCTCACGGGCTTCTGTCTGGGAACCAAGCTTTATGAGAGACCTGTGTGTAGTGATTTGACACAGATAAAAATGTCTTTCCTGGTCCCATTTTCTCTTTTTAAGGATGGCAGGTTAAGAACCGGCAGTGTCACTGCACCGGGTGGATGGAGCTCACAGATCTGGGAGAACAAACTGGCCGTGATTTTCATCTATTTTCCTTAGTGACTGAGATTTCATTTACGCTTCCTGCCTTAAGCCAGGGTGCCCTGGTGAGCGCTAATGGGCGAGGACATGACCGATGGTAGAATCCATTTTAAACGTTTCCCGACCAAGAGGACCTGGCCCAGGGTGTTTGGTAGGATGGAGGTGATAGGGCTGCAGGTCAGGCGGTGGGCTGGACTCACAGCGTCCGGGACCAGCCAGCCTGGGTGGGGGCCAGGGCCCCCGTCCCTGCTGCAGACAGACATGCAGGGGCCTCCCTGCCCTGCCCCCCACCCTGCAGGTTCCTTTGGGCCTTTCTTGTCCACGGGAAGCAGCCTCTTCCCACATGAACCTGCCAGTGACTCCACCTGGGGCAGGCTCAGGATCCACCCTTCCACACACACACCTGTCTTGCCTCCAGCCCGTAACTAGAGCTGGAGCCCACGGTACCAGAGGGAATAATGCAAGGTCATCAGCAGAACACAGCAGAAGTTGCCCGGCCATTTTGTACCAGCGGGGGTCTGGGGAGCCCAGATGGGGATGGATGCTGGGAGACTTAGTGGGGAGAAGGTGAAGGTTCCCGTGGCCAGGATTCTCCCCCGGCCCTGGCCTGTTTGCTCACTGCACACGTGCGGGCAATACATTGTTACTGACTCTAGAAAGCTCCGCCCAGTGCTCCGGGCTGCACGGCTGCAGGAGAGCAGAGGCTGGAGTGGGGGCAGCACCGAGGGCAGAGAGTGGGGTGGCTGTGGGGCGGAGAGGCCCGGGGGCAGAGAAGCCCGGGGGCAGAGCCCGGCTTGCTGCGTGCAGACTCGCTCTGAGTGGACGGGGTTCTAGTGACTGACCTGCCGCCATGGAAATCAGGTTGGGTAACCCTTTCACCCCAGGAATGTTCCTTGTCATTTTTCGGTCCCATTGAATCCATAGTGAACTTGTCCAGGGCTGAAATCCAGCGGCAAGACACTTAGGCGAGGCAGACAAACACAGGGAAGAGCTGACGACCCTCACAGGGCTCTGGATGCGATGCTGGCTCAGGCACCCGCGGGCGGCTAGGTTGATTGAAATCTAAATCCCGGAGGTGACCTGCCATCAGTGAGGGGTGGTGCCTGGAATCCCGCTGGAATCAGCAGAGGAGGAAAGAGCCCGGAGGCCCAGGGAGGTGGGGTTGTGGGGGCGAGTCTCACACGCGGCTGGTTCAGACCCTGCGGCTGTTAGGAACTAGCCCAGAACTAAAGTCAGTCCCCCACATCTGGCCGAGTTTCACGGTGACCTACTGGCCGGAGTGGGGCTTCTGAGAGCCAGGTGGCCTGAGGGCTGCTCCTAGCGGGCCCAGTGGGATGGCAGACCCGTCCCACGGTTATTTCCCTGGTCCTGGGACGGACAGTCAGCAAAGCTTTGTAATCATGTTGGTTTTCTGGCCATGGAGAGACACTGTTATGGTAGAAGGCCCCCCTGGAAGCCCCTCAGGGGCAGGATTTAGGGGCAGGAGCAGGGGTCAGGGTCAGGGTTAGGCTTCAGGATTAAAGGTTAGAGTCAGGGTCTGACCAGAAGCAGGGCTGCATCTTCAGGGGACTGTGCCTCCATCACACTGGAGGGATGCAGGAGGCGATTCTGATCCCATCCTCACGACTCACCTGTCTGTCTGGGGCAAACCCCAGATGGGGCCTAGAGTGATCCGAGATCTGCATGAACAGTGAAGACGCCACTCTTAGAGGCTGTTCTGGGCGTGACGTCATTACCAGAAGAGGTCATCCCAGCCTCTGGCAGGTGTAAGGTGCTGGCGGCCTATCAGAACAGGGCCTCTCGGCATGTGGTTCTCAGACCGGCAGCTTCAGCATCATCTTGGAACTTGTTTGAGAGGGACAATTTTATAAGAGAGGGAAACATGGTTATTTCCACTCAATAAGACCACGTAGACCTTTGAGCGACCTCCTGGGAGAAACGGATTAGAGGAGAGGGGAGTTGGTAAGCCAGGCTGGAAGAGCTCGGTCCCTGTCTCTCGTCGGCCGGCGGGGCACCCCAGGGGCCACGTTTCCCCAGGGAGGCGTCCGGCTTCTTGTCTCTGCCGGTTTCTGCTCCCTCCCGCTCCTTTCCGGGGTGCAGCCCTTCCCTGGGCCCATTCCAGGTGCCCTCATCATGCCCACCTGCCACCGCCACAAAGCAGACCATGCATCGGGCTTTCCTGAGGGTTCGGAGGGACGTTAGGACGGCAGCAGAACAAAGGACAGGCGGCTCCCAGAAGCCGGCCCCTGGGCGCCGCGTCGGAAAGCCCACCCCACCTGCGGCAGGGGCCTCTCTCTGGCCTGCTTTTCCCTTGAGTCCTGGGCTGTGCTGCACAGGCTTCTCTCTCTGCATCCGCCAGTCTTCAAAAATCCTGTTAATTCCTGTTGCTTGACAGTTTCTGTCTCCACCCACAGCCCCAGATCATCTCAGTAGCCACAAACGGGCGAAGGTCCGCCGGCCACAAAGGACCGTCCCCCTCCCCGTCCTCTGGCAGCCAGAGCACCGCAGGCGCCCTCAGTGCCATGGTGTTTTCCCCTCAATGTGACTGAACGAATGCTTAGACATCGTTCTCCCTAGGCCAGAGGGTATAGTTGAAATATTTAGTTTCCACGGTCCCGGGCAAACTCCCAGCTTCATCCTATTTGTTTTCTTCTTTCATCTCGGGGCACATGTATAACATGGAAAATGAAAGCAATCTGAGGCCCAAACAGGAGTTTGGATAATCATGCACACATGCTAGGTGGCAAGCATTACAGCCACTGAGCTGGCAAACAGGAAGACTGGAGTGGAAACACGCTCGTGACGGACGTTATGTGATGTAAATCGTGCAGCTGACAGTATTGATGAGGAAATGCATCTTGCACACAGACAGGGATTATGAGGAAAACCCGTTTTGTTGGAGGCTCGGATGGGAGTGATTTTTAAGCTTTCCATCTGTTCTTAAATGTTAGCAGCTCCTGCTGCCACAGAGTCACGCGAGAGGGTGGGTGATGTGGGCACATCGAGGTGTGGGTAAGCGAACTGGGACCAGGGATTCCCAGGGACGCTGCTTTGCAAATCTCTTGGAGTCTGGCTGATAGTCGCTGGGCCCACCCTGGGGTCCTGGTCCTGCAGGTCTGGGGGCCAGGGACATGGTTTTGGATGCTTGACAAGCTCTTCACTTGTCCAGGTGCCCTTTGCCCTTCATCGGGGTTTGAGAAGCCCGGCCCAAGGTCACCTGTTTCTGCCCCTGAGAGCTCCGGAGGGTCTCCAGGTGAGGTCAAGCCCCCTCGTTCGCTGGGACCCGGGGTGAACTGGCCTGGGCTGCCCATTTACACCCTGTAGGCCCCACTGATGGGCTTTTGAGCAGAGGTGGGTGTCTGGGTGGGCGGGTAGGCTGCCACCGGGCCTGGAGCGCATGGCCGTGCTCTGACTGTCCCCCAAGGCAGAGCCGCGAGTGAACCAGTGCCCCTTTGCTTCCGCAGCTGTCCCTTTGTGCATCCCACACAGTGGGAGCAGCTGGGTGTGCCCTGCAGTGCCCCCCACCCAGTGGTGGCCTTGCTCCCTTCCAGGGTCACCCACTGGTGACAGGGCTGTGGAGACTTCCCAGGTGACCAGGGCTGGGCTGCAGGTGGTGGGAAGGGAGCCCTGAACACCCTCACAGCCACAGGTCTGTTCTGGGGGGACTGGTGGGCCAGGCTTGGGGGGACACCCCTCCAGGGTAGGGGAAGGTCTAGTTTATCTGCATATGGTCAGGAAACGTGATGACAGTGGCATGTCTGTACATCGTAGATACCGTGTCCCTTGACCAGGTGCTGGGGAGGCCGCCATGTGTGCTCTGCTGGCCGGTGGTCCTGGCACAGAGACTGGGCTGTGGGACGAGCCTGGGGGTATGAGGAGGGCCCAGGCTCCTGGCTCTGCAGGGAGGGGCTCCCACGACCTCTGCTCCTCCGGCTCAGACCCCTGGCTCCCTGCGGGGTGGGGGAAGAAGGAAGGACACTAACGCTGGCGCACGCTCTCCATTCACCTCATAACAGCCTGCGAGGTAGATTTTACTTCCTTGTTTGACAGGTGAGGAAATTTGGGGTTCAAAGAGGCTCGGTGAGTTATTTGGGGTCATACAGGAAAGAAGAAAAGGAGATGGGACTTGGGACCAGGTCTGTGGGCTCTGGTCCAAGATAGTTACAGATGCTGCAGTGGAAGGGGCGGAGGGGCCCCAGGGTGAGCCCTCGACAACAACTCACCCCCGTTTATAGGCAAAGCTCATCCACGTGAGGCCTGCACAGAACAAAAGGGGGAAGGGCAAGGCTCTCCCCCCATAATACAACGAGGGATGGGAGCCCAGAGAGGTGAGGGGACTTGCTCAAGGTCACACAGCCTGCAAGGAACCCTGGGGCTGGGACCCAGGCCTTCCTGCCCCCCTTTCCTCCCACAGATGGGGCGCTGCCGGAGGCGAGTGGCGGGAGAACTGGGTGGGGAGCTGGCAGCAGGCAGTGAATGCAGGACAGAAGGAGAGGAGCAGCCGGAGGCCCGAGCAGGCCACTGGGAGCAGGAAGGGGCGGCCCTGGGGCCTCTGGGGACCGCAGTGTGCCCATGGTATGTGTCTGACTACTTAGAAACGTGTAAAAAAGGCTGGGAGAAAATGGGTCAAAGTGGCCGCCCCTGGGAGGCAGACTGAAGCATTCTTCCCCCTTCCTTCTATTTTCTCGCCAAATTTCTAAAGTGCACATTTCATTTGTAACAGGAAAAATATACCCCTCTCTGTTTTAGTTTTAAAAAATAGTGCTGGAAAACAGCCCCGGGGCCTCAGGGGGATTCTGGGGTGAGGCGCGGCCGCCTGCGCCCCCCCAGGAAGGGGCCTGGGTGCGGGGGGCTGTGAGCTGGGGGCTCTGGCCCCTCTAAGGGCAGAGTCTCCTCAAAAGGGGACCGCTGCCGGGCGACGGAGGCGTGCGTCCTGGGTCCAGTCCCAAAAGGGGCACAGGAGCCGGGGAAGGGCACCACCCCCACCCCGAAGTGGTACGGGGACCCCCCCCACTGGCCCCTGGCCCCTGCCTGCAGGCCCAGAGCTCTCCCCTGCACACTGGCCGCCCCACGGCCCCCCGCCCTGGGCGTCCACTCTGCGGCTTGAGAGCAGGAAAGGCTATGGGGGCATCTCCACCCCGGGGGCAGTGCAGGCGGCCGGGGACGCAGAGCAGCTTTGAGGGCCCCCTTGCCCCCAGAGCCCCACCGGCTCAGTCGTCCAGGTGCTGCTCCTCCCAGGTGGACGTGGGGATGGCGCTGTAGGGGTCCACGATGACCCTGGCGCAGCGAATGACCATCAGCACGAGGAAGAGGCAGAGGAAGGCGAAGCAGGCCAAGGTCAGCCCTTTGTCCACGTCCACGTAGGCGGGCTCGGGCGTGGGCTCCTCCAGCCCAGGGCCGGCCGGTACCATCTTCTGCCCCTGCAGAGAGGTGGGCGTGCTGGTCAGGGCCCCTGGTCTGGGTGGGCCGGGCACCAGCCCTCCTCCACGTGCTGCGGGGCACTGGCTGCTGTGCCCACTGGGCGGGCGAGGACAGGGGACAATACGTCCCTCTCGGGGCCTGTAGTGGTCTCAGCCCCGAGCCCACTGGGTAACGGAGGTCGCCAGCAGGGCCCGATGGTGCCTCCTGAAACCCTTCAGGGAGAAAGAGTGCTGCTCCCAGTTCTGCCAAGCCTCTGACGGAGGGGGATCAGAAAGCATTTAAAAAATGAGGGAATGAATGTATTTTTAAAATGATAGAACCTGTATTTCAAATGACACTGATATGTGGAGATTCTTAAGAGGAGCTGCAGTCACGGAGGGAGGCGGGAGGTGGGGGGGTCTGACCTCCCCGCTCTGGGGGGGCCTCAGCTGCTCCCCAGGGACTGGGCTGGGAGTCCCAGCCACAGGGCCCGAAGACTGCAGGTCTGCCGGGGGGACCGTCCGGCAGCCAGCGGACCCATTGCCTCAGCTCTGCCACCAGATGCAGGGCAGCCTGGGGAATTTAGGACCACGTGCCAGGCAGCCCCAAGGGCAGGTGACAGGATGCAGGGTGTGTGCTCGGCTCAGGGGGGTGAGGTGTCCGTGCAGAGCCCGGGGCCCTGCTGCGTGGTCAGGAAGCACGCAGGGTGGAGCAGAAGCCTGGGGCCGGCCGGAGGGAGGGCCAGGTCCTTGCAGGCCGGGGTGCAGGGAGAGCTCCAGAACAAGGGGACCCGGTTCCCTCTCTCGACATGGGCCGATCTCCATCCCCCAGTTCTTGGCGCCCCTGAAATGGGCCTTGTGCTCCCATGTCTAGTGTATTATTTGGCCCTCGGCAGCCCTGGAGGCAAGTCAGCCTCCAGGAGCTCAGGTGCCCATTTTATAGATCTGGAAACTGAGGAACAGAGAGGGCGGACAACTCCCCGGCAGGCCCACATCCTGACCTGGCCCCGTATGCCCTCCTGCCTCTGGAGGAAGGCCGCGGGGCACCAGCTTCCCCTACATCCTCGCAGCTGGTCCTGGGGTGTCTGCGACTGCGGGGGGTGACGGGCTCTCCCTCCCTCAGCCCTTCCCAGAGGCTACTGACCTGCCACTTGGAGGGGTCACCGCTTCAGCAGGGCCTCCGGGTCGGGCTGCGCCAGCCGGGAAGAGACACCAGACATCAGGGCTGGGGCCACTAGCGCAGGGGCGGCAGCTGGAATGGAGCAGCGGGAAGGCCGGTGACTTCCCAGGACCAGCCGCCTGGGACCTGGCCCGGCCGCCCCTCCCTGGGAGCAAACTGAGTGTCTGTCAGTAAGGGACCCGCTGAGGCAGCCGAGGGGTCTGTGCCCTGGAACGTTCTAGGCAGTCACCACGAAACACACAAGTGAAGTCTAGGAGAAAGTAAGTGGGGGGATAGTACTTCAGGTGTGATATAATTTACGTGAACTAAAAAGAGACTTTAGATTGCAGGGTGTCATCCACATGCGGTGGGGTGGGAGCTTGAGGTCCTGTCACCACTAGATCGGGACACGCTTCTGCTGTGACCGCCGGAGACATTTAAGAACTAGAAAAGCGCAAATGAAGTAATAAGCAGCTAGTGTCCATGTGCCGAGTTTGCAGCTGCTACCTGACAGTATTTGCTCTGTCTTTTCTTTTTCTGGAAACACATCCTTCCGTTGTGACTACAAAGCCACAGAACCACCTCCTCTGCCCCCCAGGCAATAGCGGCGTCTTGAGGGTGGCGTGCATCTCCACTCTGCGCGTCCGTAGAACGTCTAGGGGTCTTTGGACCATACTTGAAAACACTGCGTACCCCACCTCCTTCCATCCCATAAACGAAGAGACTGGAATGTAGGGAGAAGACAGGGTTTGCTCAGAATCTCAGAGCAATGGTGTAGCCACATCCTGGCCCCCAGGCCCGGGCTCTGGCCCCGTGGCCCCGATCCCGCATGGTTGTGAGTGGCTCCCAGGGAGCGTGAATGGGCTGGAGTTTCAGAGCCGGACTCAGCCTGGCCTCTCACACATAGACCCTGAAAGGCCAGGGCCAGGGCTGCCTTAGTTAATGTGAGATACAGCCTCCCCCAAGCCCCCCTGAGACTGTAGAGGTCAGATTGTCTGGTGACCCTCTGGTCTTGTCTGGGGCCAGGAACTAGGCCTTGTAACCTGGAAACATGCCCTTTTTAGAGAAAGATTATCAAGGTTTTCCAGATCCGCTGGGTAAGTGCCAAGGACATGGCCTTGCAGAGCGGTCACCTTGCCCCCCTCCAGCTGGAGTGTGCCCATTCACCTGCGTCACCGGGCAGTTATGAGTCCCATCGGCTCTGCCTCGAAGTGAGGACACGACACGTAGGAGCGAATGCAGCTCCAGACTCCGCTGCCGCCCCCTGGGAGTGGGGAGCCCGTCCTCCCAGAGGCCACTCCGCAGTCCCCGCACCACTGAATCGTCCTTCAGCACTGAGCCTGTGCCCAGGCCAGATGCCCCTCCTGCCACCTTCCGGGCTGGTTGGAGGCCAACCTGCGTGAGAGTCAGGGATTCTGGTCTGGGTGAGGGAACGACCCTCACGGCAAATGCCTGCAGGGCTCTCCTGGCCCACTGGTCCTCATGTGCAGACTCAGACTTGAGAAGAAGCCTGCTCGACGCTGTGGGAAAGCAGCTGGGCAGTACAGTTGCTGGACAAAGGTTCCAGTCACCGTTTCAGGAAAAAAACTAGCCGTCAGGCGGCCACAGCTCAAAGGCTGCACAAATACAGATCAAAGGATCTGTGCCCAGGTGTGTGTACCACCCCAGGGCTGCGGTGGGTGCCCAGGCCCCTGCTTCCTGGGCCGAGGGATTTCTTCTTTCTGTGTGTAAGTGCGTCTTAGTCTGATGGGGCTGCAAATACTGCACAGCAGGCGGCTTGAACCACAGGATCAATTTCCTCACCCTCCTGGGGGTGGCAGCCCTACGTGAGGACCTGCAGGGTTGGGCTTGGGTGGCTCCTCCCCTGGCTTGCGGAGGCTTCATCCCCGCTGCCGCCTTTCCCCATGCATGCGCGCGCAGGGGAGGAATGGTCTCCCGCTCTTCTTATAGGGCCCATCCAATCCGGTTAAGACCGTATTTGACCTTAATTCCTAAAAGCCCTACCTGCAAATACAACTGGGGGTGTCAGGACTTCAACATATGACTTTTGGGGGGACAGTCCACAGCAGTGTGTGTGTTCCTCTAGGGCAGGGTCTGGGTCTGACTGAGGGGCACTGCCAGCCTGGAGCCAGGCCAGAACCCCCCCCCGCCCATTATGGGCTCACAGTCGAAGTCGGAGAAGACGAGGACCCGGGCTTGGCTGCTGGCAGCTGCCCTCCAAACTCCAAGAGTAGGAAGACGAGGTGACTGAAAAGCATGCCACCGATGGTGTGACTTTGTTCTGGTGACAAAGATCAGAGCTGATCATGTGCAATAATCAGGCGGTTCTATAAACAGTCATGGAGCCATTAGGAAAGAGGATGCCATTAGGAAAGTCAGAATCACTTCCCCAGATGACAGATGGGTCAAGTGGATGCCACTTGCTCAGGACAGAGAAGACGTCAGTGTCGTCCCACACCAATCACGCTGTCTTGTGTGGCCCCCTCCTCTGTGGGAGCAATTGGCAGGCTTGTTAGGGGAGGCGATGGGTATCTGTTGGGAGATGAGTAAGATCATGATGACCGCCGGGTGGGACAGGCCTACTGGAGTTCGTGCGTAGGACTTATCTTCCGGACCTAAACAGCTCTGACCTCTAGGAAGCCCCCCAGAGCAAGGAGGCGGTATGAAGCGGCGCCATTCAGAGAGAAGAGAAGAGGACATTCCTGCCGAGAGAGTTCATCATCGTTGTGCCAGAAGCTGCCATGCCAGTTCGGCTGTGCCACTTTACCATATGCTGCTGATCTCCCCCGATCCCCTTAACTGCTGCGTGTGCACTTCCCCAGCCTCTGTTTGTTCTGCTCCCAGCAGCTCACACCTACAGGCTCCCAGAAGGCCGTCCCTGGGTCACTGCAGCTGCTTCACCCATGGGTGCAGAGAGCTGGGAGAGCTGGGGAATTTATGTCACCCTTACCCTCAAGGACTCAGCCTATTCAGGTTGCAAAACATTCTAGAATTAGGAGATTCACTGTCAGGAAAGCATGTTTGGACAGATGGCCAAGGGTGGGACTGGACAGCCTTTTGCTAGTGCTGAAGAGACCGGATGTGTCATTCATCATCCCCTCAGCCATCTCAGCAGAAGCCAAAAGCAAATGAGATTATCCAGGGAGGATCTTTGGGGGACTCTCTGATCTAATGAGATGAACCCCCATGACATACATGGGTCATGCACCAAAGTCTGAGAATGTTACATCAGTAGAAACACTGTGCCTTGGCCTGAAAGGGACAGAGAAAGGGTGAGGTGAGAGAAGGCTGCTGGACTGTCCGAACTTCTACAGGCAGAAAACAGGTGGATAAAGCCAGTCAACCACAAAACCACTGAAGGGTGCCTCAGGTGGCAACGGATTTTGAAGATGTGATCAAGTCGAGAATCTTGAGGAGAGATCACCAGGGGTTCTCTGGCTGAGTACCAAACATGATCACATGATCACAGGTGTCCCAGTTAGAGTGTCCCCAGTAAGGGGAAGAGCAGACGGGGGAATGTGATCACAGGAGCAGTGATGGTGTCGGGAGCCAGGGACCCGGCAGCCTCCAGAAGCGCAAAAGAGGCAGGGGATGGTCTCTGCTCAGGAGCTTCCAGAAGGGACTTGCTGACTGCTTGGACTTCTGCCCCTAAGGCTCACTCTGTTCTTCTGACCTCCAGACCCGCAAGAGAACACATGCAGGCTGTTTTAAGCCACTAAATCTGCGGCGATTTGTTGCATAAGCAACGGGAAGTCCCCTTTGGGTTTTAAGATGATGCCTTCCTGTGAATAACCCCTTTGATTCTGACCTTCAATCTGTAATGTACACAGGCTACTTTTGCTCGATTTCCCCAGGTTTGGAGAAATGGAAACACATCAGTCAAGGGCGACAAGAACACGGTGTCTGGCTATTAGATGAGAAACTGACTGGCAGGCTCTCAGAAAAATGTCCCTTCAAGGGGACTGGAAGCCACAGCGAGGGTGGGGCAGGTGTGCACAGCTTTGGCCATCGGTGCGGCCACGGAGCTGGGAGAGCAGGGGGAGACTGCGTGCAGCTGTGCCGAGTTCACGGGTGGTCTCGCTGAACTGCAGCATCAAGGACTGAGGCACTGACCCTGGTGGGGCGGGAGCTGTGGGTCCTTCTCCTCGCAGCCCCTGACCCACCAGTTCAAGCCACCAGATCTGTGAGTGTTCATGACACAGGTGTAGGTCTCTTTCCATTAAAATGTGTTATATTCAGTCCGTCCTTCCAAGCTAAAGGCTTATGGCTTTCTCCAGCGAGGAAACTTTTCTTCTGTTATTTTGATCATCATTTCTTCTATTCTTTTCTCACGTCCTGAAATTCCTATTCCAAATATAATTGAACTCTTAGACATGCCATGACTATTGTTGTTTGAGCAGCAATCACATTCATCCCAGTTTGTCTTCACCTCTTGGATAAGAGGATTTCTCTTTAATATTTCCAGGAAGCCTGAGAATATCAGGTACCTGACCCGCTCCTCCCGGAGGCCTGGGGTGCCAGGGGCCAGGTGGCGAGGGGCCGTGTAGCCCTCCCCAGCCTTGCAGTGGAGGGCAGGGCAGGAGCCACCACGTGGGGGCCGCCAGGAGGACGTCCTTGCCTGGGAAGAGAGGAAGGAGACCACGTCCAGGCTGGGACCAAGCAGGGGACAAATGGAGCAGAGCAGCTCTTCAATGTCAATGACATCAAAAAATGATTACTAAGTTAATGAGAAAATTCAGCTGCAGTTACAGACTGGGAAGTCACTGTGCTGAATACTCTGCACTGAAAGTTACAGGGAGAGATGAGTGACAGCTGCTTACTACCCTCGGGGGCAACTCATAACTCCCATCACCGAACAAAAAGAATTAAATGCAGCAAAACCAGGAGCCAACTGAGGCGGTTGTATAAACACCAAGAAGAAAATCAGAAGATGAGATGAGTCGGGTTAGAAGCAGAAATGAATCACTTACAAGATGGAAAACCAAGAGAACGGGAAGGTTCTTCCACACAGTTTGAACCTGGACAAACCTCTGGCAGGTTTAATCTAGAAAAAGGGAAAAGGCAATTATGTCCCTTTAGGAAGGAGAAGGGGGATCTGAGCAGAGACACTAAGGATGAAAACCACGGAGGGGTGGCGCTATGGAACCCTCCTCCGGTACACGGGGGAAATTCAGCGATACTGGCATTTTCCAGGATGTGAATGATCAAAACTGGCTCAGAATGTGCGGGAAGCCCACAGCAAACCATGCTCAGGAGGTGTTTGTCCCGAGCAGGGGCTTGGCCCGAGCTGGGCTGTGGTCCGGCAGCCAAGGCAAGTGCTCGGAGTGACCACAAGTCCTGAAGTCCTGCGGTGCGACACGGCCTGCCCAGGCCCCCGGGCCGGCCCCTCTTGTTCTGAGAGTGGGATTCCCTCCTGTTCCTCCAGATGGGGCGGCCCCTTGAGGCCAGGATGCCATGTCGCCTCGGAAGCTGCTGACCGCCCGTAAGTCCAGCCCCGGGGCTGCCGCACGGCATGTGGGTGGTCCGTCCAGGTGTGCCAGGGGCCCGGCTCCTCTGCTCACTCTCGCGTGTGCCCCTTTCCTGGGTGGCGGCCCGTCTCCAGGGTGGCTGGTCTTGGCCGGATCCCAGGACCCACCACTTCAGGGGTTTGAACCTTCCTCTCTCCAGCCCCTGAGCCTGATGCTTTTATCCCGTCACTGGTTTTATTTCAGGAGCTTCGCTGCTCTTCCCTCGTTCTGGGAGCGACGGCCTGTGGCTATTGACTGATGACCTTCCCTGCCTCTCTCCTGCATTCTCCAGCCCTTATGTCACTTAATTTAGGACACTTGAGTATTTACCCTTATCAATATACGTAAGTTTACCCTTCTACCAGCAATTCCAGTTTCTTTGCATCCTCACCAGCACTTCTAACCTTTCACATTTCAGCCATTCTAGTGATGTTCTGGTATATTGTACTCTTTATTTGCAGTTCCCTGGTTGAGATGAAAACCTTTTTATATGCTTTTTAGCTACTTGGATGTCCTCTGGGAAAGGCCTACCTGTCTTCTAAGCATTTTCTTATTGGGCTGTTCGCCTTTTCTTCTGATCTGTAGGCCTCGTACATTCTGGATAAGGTTCTTTCGCCCGATACAGGTATTGCAAACAACCTCTTCCAGTCAGTGTTTTCTCTCTTCATGTTCTTACCAGTGTCTTTAATGAACAGAAGTTCTAAATTTTAATGAAGTACAGTTAATCCTTTTTTCCTTTTATGGTTAATACTTTCTATATCCTATTTAAGAAATCTTTGCCTCTCCCAAGATTGTGAAGACTCCCTGTGCT